CCTATTACATCTGCTCAATTTTTTGGTAGAATTATTTCAAACTCAGTTAAAATAAATGCAAACTATCTAGACCTTCTTAGTTCTGCTGTAATTAAATGGCTTCTGCCAAATTCTTCACCACTACTATTGCCTTCCATTCCTATCCCCAACTCCATCTTATCTGTAATTTTTGAAGCAAGTGAAGCAACTAACAAACTTAACCAAATATTCTCTAATAATCTACTATACAACTCATTTAATTTGTAATTCATCGATCAACAATAGTTAATCATATGATAATTATATAATCAATTTGGGGATAAGTAATATAGTAATTTACTATATACATTTCCAATCTCATATTGACTCTTAGTTATAAGCTTTTAAATGACTACACGCTGGGAACCTGCTGTTTATTTGCTTGCAACAGGAAGTATTGTACCAAATTTACACTATGGTCCTTTTTTATGTGATTGGTGGTATGTTAAGTTTAATAAAGAAAATGAAGTTACTAAGCAAACCTTTTACCCATTTCGAGTTGGTTATAAATGTAAAACAGAAATAAAAGGACTTCAAATCACAACACGAATAGTTCAAGGAAATATGCTCAATTCACAAGTACCAGGATTTTGTTGTGAAGGAAATAGAATATCTGGCAATTTGTCAGACAATCCAACTCAGGTGATAAATTCATTTTATGACAAACTTTTTGCTGAAGATAAAAAAAATACTCGATATTCAGGACTACAAATTATGGGCTTTGACAATCAAACAATTCTTAGCGAATTAATATCTGATATTACTTTTCAACTATTTAATATTTCTATTAATAAGCTTAGCATTATAATTCATTCAATAGGTGTATCTTTAAATAAAGATTGGGGTTATGCGGGTGAAGGATATTCAATTTCTATGTTATATAATTATAAAAAAGAAAAGGCATTATTTTATTATAGATTTAAAGAACGTTGTGCTTTTATCGAAATTTATAAAACATATCAACTTGATGTTAGCTATTATGGAACAGATTCTGATGATGTGTGGTCTCAAACAGGATTATTAAAAGCAATTAGCAGTGTTACTTTATTTGGATTAAATAATATAGATGTTCAAATAAATTTAAAAAACGCATGAGAATTAGTTTGTTATTCAAATAAATGGCATAATTATGAGAAATTAGAAAAATTATACAATTATCATCTATGTAGACGTACTTCACATTAAATTAATTGGTTTATTTTTTTTCAAAAATGGCAAGAAAATGATAACATTATTGAATTACATCAAAGTTTAGGTGAAATTTATCCAAAAAATTACGAAATATCTGATCGAGAATTAAGAGTGTGGTATGCAATATTAAATGCAACTGAATGTACAAATATTACTCCATTTAACTGTCAAGAATCAAAGGTTAGAATGTTCTAACTATAAAATAAATAATTTTAGTATGTTAAGATTTTGATATTGAAAATTTTCAATTTTCAAAAGATATCAAAATCTTTATGCATAAAATATAAACCTGTAAATTATATTTTCATGTATTTAATAGTTTTTATATTATAAAATTCAATTTGTTGAATTTATAAAATAAAAGCTATCAAATGTATATAATATAAATACTAATAAGACTTCAGGCTTTCAAATTTATCGTTGATTATTTATTAGGTTCAGTTCATAAAAAATCCAATTAGTGATATGATACGTAATTACATATTATATAGAGTTGAATCTGATAAATAAGAAGTGATAAAATTAAAAGCCTGATGTCGCAATTTCCTCAAGTAGCATTCATATAATTTACAGTCTCAAATTGAATAAATCTATATTACTAATACAATATAATATTAAATTAGTATGAATTTTGGAGCAAATCACAACATTTTACAAAAGAAAAAAATTTACTTGACCTATTATACCAAACCAGATTTTTGCATTCAATTCCTTCAATCATACCAAACTCAACTGAAATATTTTGAAACTGCTTTAAGCGATCTCTAGATAATAATAAAAGAGGTCCAAATGGAAAGCAAAGAATATTATCGATTATAGCAGACAGTTTTCCATACCAAATATTAAGACAAAAACTTCAAGTAATACTTATCTTTTTTTTTATATAAATAATTATCTGATAAAATTTTTTTTTTTAAATAGCATTATTTATTAATCTTAGATCTCACCTAATACTATTAATACTGCCAAAATGTATGCAAAAATTAATGGCTATGGATGTTCTGCAGCTCCAAAACCACCTATGGTAAAACAAATTATGTCACAAGAGCATAAAAGACAATTCGAAATTTTTTTTTCAAATAAAAACAATGTGAACATGAGTTTTTATAAAACTGATAGTAAAACTGGCTTACCCGTTCTTTATTTAAGTGATCAAAAAGAAGCATTATGGAACCAATTTCATCAACAATATCCAGATGGCATGAAAAGGACTGCATTTTTTGAGCGATTAAAAAATGGTCTATTTATTTATAAAGATGATTTAGGCAAGCTTTGCTCAATTTGTAGTCAGTATGGATATGATGTATTTTTTGATTTAATGAACCTAGTTCGTAAAGAATTTGATAACATAGAACAACAGGTAAATAATTTTCATTAATTATAAGAAATATATATATATATTATGATTTATTCTTTTCTAAACAAAAAATAGACTTACTTTATATCAGAATTAGAAAATTAAAAACGTTATCTAAAACTTCAATATTGTCAACATTTAAAAGTAAATTTTGATGGCACTGTACAACATGATATATGTATTAACCATTGTTTACCATTTGCATTCGGAGAATGTAACAAAGCTCATACTTTAGAATGTAAGGAATGTTCACGAATCTTTGGCCTTTTCAGAGAATTACATAATGTAATTTCTAAAACAAAATCAGAAAGTTTAAATGAATTACAAAATCAATTAGAATATTATATTTCACACCAAACTAGAAAACAATATCTTAATAGCCAATTTAATGCTAATTTAATGCAACTTAGTTCAAATAGTGCCTTAATAATTGTAGATTACAAAATGCGCATCTTACCAAAACATGCTTGTAAAACAAAGCAGGATTTTTTTGGGAAGTGAGAGTGGACATTGCATACCATCTGTGTATTTGCTAGACCTACAAATTCAATAGATATAAATATTTATGCTTTCGATCATTGGTCTGCTGATGTCAAACAAGATGCCTGGTTTACTGCTTCTTCGTTTGATGCAGTTTTTAATTCTCTTGAACAAAAACCAGAATGGATTATCATTATGTCAGATAATGGTCCTCATTATCACAACTCAGAACTAATGATAATAGTCTTTTATTGGAAAGAATGATATAATATTGAGTGTAAAAAATGGGTATTTTTTGAAGCGGGAGAAGCCAAAACATCAATAGATTCTCATCATGTCCAGGTACTAGATTCCATTATTATAATTGTTGTTACAAATATTCTAACTTTTAGAAATATTTAGATTTCCCATTGCATAAAACGATATGTACGTCTTGGTTTTGATGTAACAACTGGTGAAGATATAGAAAAAGCAATACAAAACCTTAGTGGAACTTCAACTATACATATTTAGCCTAATCGTAAAAATAGAAAAAAAAGTAACATAAAAACTATTTTAGGAATATCCAATTACTCTAAATGGACTTGGCCAGTTGAGGGGCCACATGCAGAATTTATATACTCATGTCCATTGCCTGGTTTTGGAAAACCTAATTATATTTCACCTACTCAAATTTACAAACTACTCAAATCAGATATTGAACAACTACAACCTGAATATTTAGATCATACTGTACCTCAAGAAACCTGGATGATGCCTATATGCCGTTTGTCTAGTAATTAAGATAGATTTATATTCAAATTAGATAAATTTAGATTTGAAAATAAATAAATAAATATAATATCTGTAAATATTCTGTTTAATAAATAGCATCGAATTCTGATTCATGGGACCTTAGACAGTGGACTACAGCTAAGTTACATGAAGAATTGGAAAACCTTAATATTCCTGTTAATAAAAGCATGCTTCGAAGTGAATTAGTAAAAATTTTGAAAACAAATTTATGTCTAGAAACTTTAGACAATTTAGAAAATAATATTAGCAACATAGAAAATACAACTGAAAGTACTGATTTGATGGATGTTGATAAGTAAATAGTTTAGATTTTGTTTAATCTTTTTTTTTTTTTTGTGATTTCAAGTTTCTTCATTTAATTACTAGATCACCAGATATTACCTTATTTTCATTACCTCTTGGTTGGGCATTAAAACATAATCAAAAATACGGAAAAAAAGAAGGAAAACGATTATCCAAAAAATGTAGTAGAAGCTTTAAAAAGATTTTTTATGTTAGGTCAAGCAAATTCAAGTGATCGTTATACTGCTAGTGATATGCATAATGGCTTATTAGAACTTGTAGAGAGCGGAGAAATTAATGAAGAAGACATTCCTACACAAAGTACTATAGAAAATTGGATTAATCATTATTCACAAGAATCAAAAAAAGAAGCAGCAGAACAAGTGTTACTTACACAAGTAGCAAGTAAATGATAAAAAAAAAAATCTAATTAAAACTTGTACTATCATAATTGTCTATAAAAAAAAAAAAAAAAAAACAATATTTAATCCATTCTAATCATCCTTTCCTTTTTTTACATCTAAAGATGCATACCATTAGTTGAACAAAATTCTACCCTTCTTCATTCTTTGTTCTTACTTGGAAGTATCAACACATTGAATTTTTTTCTAGTCTGAAATTCCATCGAAAATTCAAGGCTATTTTAAATTCTATTGTAATATTTCGATATTTGTTTTGGGAATTTTATGGATATGACTTTTTATCATAAGCTTGGATTGATATAAAAAGCTGGTGATATTTCTGAGAATGCTGTAAATAAAGTCAAAATTACTGGTATACCAGATAGGAGCAAAAAACCTAAATATGAAAAACAACTTAAATAAGAATAGCAATATCAATATATAAATTTGCGTATGCTATACACACTAATAGTAAAAATAATTGAATTACCATTCCTTGGCATTATCAAATTATTCTTAGCATTCGTTAGTATTATTACTTCAATGCATGATTCTCTATTAAAAAATAGGAAAATTCATTTATTTCCATCATAAAAATTTATATACGAACTCTCACATCTAGTTAAATAAAATATCTGAAACCTCTAAATATGAACTTGAAATTTATTTAATGAATAAAATATAATATACAGCACTGTTTCTAATAAAATTTTTTTTGAGCACAAATACCCAATTATCTTAGCACCCCAAAAAAATCTTATGCCTCGCTTATATTGTTGCATTGGCAATATGAAGTTCTAATTATTATCGTCAATATTTGTATTTTTTACATGAAATAGCCAAATAGATTATGAAGGCCCCAAAAAGTAAACGAAGAATTCAAGAGATGCAAAAAGCTCCAAATAGGTTAATTAGTTTGCTTATAATACTGTACCCTTTAAATTACAATTTACATATGATCTATCATATTTGTCAGAAAAATTCGCCTATAAAATAATATAAGAGATAAAATAAGTCGCACTCAAGATCAGCACAAAATATGTAAAATTAGAACTTGAGTTTTAAAGAAGATCCCTGCTAAAAAGCTCTGAGCTCATAAAACTCATAAAATACATACTTTCTTGTTCCCTTTGTTGACTTGAATGATAATGCAAATGACTATAATTAATAGACTATGGATCGGAATTAACAGAGTAGGTACGAAGATAAGATGCCAATCTGACTTTGTTCACTATTTGACCTGTTGAAATAAAAAAACACAACTATTGAAAATTTATTTTAAATAAAACGTGTAGTTATGCTGATCTGTATATAAAAAGGTGGTTTTAAAAAATAGCGTACTAGTTAATACTACCTAATGTCTAACTTTTTTCGACTTTTGTAAAATTCAAAGTGATCTACAAGATTTTTGCCCCATGTTACACTAATTATTTTGTATCATTGATCGGTGAATTATGAATTAACTTTTATACTGATGGTTCAGTAATTGGTATAAGTACAAATAACTGTACCATGGGTATCAGCTGAGTCCAAGTAGGTTCTAATGACCAAGTTATCCACAAATTTACTGCCAAAGTTCACCTTTAGCCATCATCTTACAAGGCTGAACTTTTCTCTATTCTGTTTGCCATCTTAACTACTTCTCGAAACTCTACAATTAACATCTATACAGATTCCCAATCCATAATATCAAAATTTATTCAACTTAATC